ATGCCATGATCTTAGTTTTCTGAATGTTAAGCTTTAAGCCAACTTTTCCACTCTCCTCTTTCACTTTCATCAAGAGGCTCTTTAGTTCTCCTTCACTTTCAGCCATAAGGGTGGTGTCATCTGCATATCTGAGGTTATTGATATTTGTCCAGGCAATCTTGATTCCAGTTTGTGCTTCATCCAGCCCAGTGTTTCTCATGATGTATTCTGCATATAAGTTAAATAAGCAGGGTGACAATATACAGCCTTGATGTACTCCTTTTCCTATTTGGAACCAGTCTGCTGTTTCATGTCTGGTTCTAACTGTTGCTTCCTGACCTGCATACAGGCTTCTCAAGAGGCAGGTCAGGTGGTCTGGTATTCCCATCTCTTTCAGAATTTTCCACAGTTCATTGTGATCCACACAGTCAAAGGCTTTGGCATAGTCACTAAAGCAGAAGTAGTTGTTTTTCTGGAACTCTCTTGCTTTTTTGACGATCCAGTGGATGTTGGCAATTGATCTCTGGTTCCTCTGCCTTTTCTAAATCCAGCTTGAACGTCTGGAAGTTTACAGTTCATATATTGCTGAAGCCTGGCTTGGAGAATTTTTGAGCATTACTTTACTAGTGTGTGAGATGAGTACAATTGTATGGTAGTTTGAGCATTCTTTGGCATTGCCTTTCTTAGGGATTGGAATGAAAACGGACCTTTTCCAGTCCTGTGGCCACTGCTGAGTTTTCCAAATTTGCTGACATATTGAGTGCAGCACTTTCACAGCATCATCTTTTAGGATTTGAAATAACTCAACTGGAATTCTGTCACCCCACACAACACTGTTACTAACCAGGGCTGACCCTATAGCCCTTGCACTTTCCACTCTGCCTTGCAGAGAGAAAGATGGCTGAGTGAAAGAATTCCAGCATGAATAGGAGCAGGGCACAGATTCAAGAGAGTTCAGATGAGCTGTCAGCAGCAGACTGCAGTGGCTCACGGATGTTGGGTGGAGGTGAGGAGAGGCAGTGACTCAGCCTCCAGCTCCACTGACGGATGGGGTCCATGCTGTGCCATTAATCTCTGTAGAGCTCATAGGCTGCACTGATTCCCAGCTCCTCAGGTACCCCCAACCTTCCCACTTCAGTCCTAGAGCCATTCCTGATAACACCCAAGAAATGCCCACCCCTCTTTTCCCTCCCCTCTGCTGGGGCTCCCACTGGCCTTGGATCCAGTGGTCTGGCTGGACCTACCTTTTACCGTGGTCTAGGGGTCTGGCCTTTATGCCTTCTCAGAGTTCTCCAGGACTAGGCTCCTTTGCTGCCAATTTGGACCGAGGTCTTAGGGATCCCAAGAATGAATCCTGATGCATGGTTGGCCTGAGTTCTAACACATAATAAGCTGCCTCAGTTTCCCCTCCTTAGCCTTAGCACTCTAGGGCCGCTCGAGGACCTTCTCAGTGGCTAGGCCTTGGTATCCAACTCAACTCTTGCAGTCTCTTTCTGTCTGACTTGCTGGCGTGTTGATTAAGGCCACACCTCACATGGACAAAGAGCCCTCAGTGATGATCTGTCAGCTGGCTCCTAAATATCAGCCACAACCTGAATGTTCAGGGCATTCCTCTGCCTGACTATCTACCTGCCTGGGGGGCTTACCTCTTCCTAGAGTCTTATATGGCACTTCCCCACATTGGTGTCCCTGCCATCGTTATTGGGTCAACTCTTGTTTTCTTTGCTGATCAGACTCTCCCCACCTCAGCCTTTGCCCTGCCCATCTCTGGCAGCCCTCTGCCCCCCAGCCTGGTCAGCATTTCCTTGCCATTCAGATTGAGCTTAAATGTCACATTTCTGTTCAGTGTTGCCTGACCTCTTCCCATGTCTTTCTAGATTCTCACCCCATTTCTTGTTCCTCATCACACTACAGATTTGGAATTCTTTTATTTGGGTCATTGTTCCTTATCTGTTTCCTCATTAGAATGAAAGCTCCTGGAAGGCGGGGACCTCCCCTCTTAAACTCACTGTTTTATTGGAAGGCATGGAACAGGTCCTTCAACACAGCAGGAGCTCACTGAGCTACTTATGAATGATTCTTGATTGCTGAGCCCCCGTTATGCCTGGTCTGTGCCAGGGGGAGAAGATGCAATGGATTTTTGTGCAGGATGAATTGGAGGCTGTCCACTTGGAGCCATCCAACTCCCTTTGCTGGAACCGTCCACCTGATCTGTCAAGTAAACTCCTAGATTAAGCTTGGAATTGCCTCTCAAAAACCTTACCTTGCCCTGACCCCAGAGCTGTACCCCTTCTCCCTTGCTGTCAGAACACCTCTTCCCAGCCTTTAATAATGCACATGTTGCACAGCATCATATGCTTGTTTGCTGACCTGTCTTACTTCCCAGTTAGACTGTGAGCTCTTGGCCAGCAAAAATTCTGTGTGGGATTATACAAGTTGGTGAGTGTGTTAATAAACTGGATGTACAAATCTGGTATGCAAGAGATAAGTCAGGATTAGTGATGCAATAATAAAATCAACTAATACAGGGCCCTTTATCCAAAACCACATCACTGAAGAAGCCTTTGAAACTTTGGCCAGTCGTGTGCAAAAGAGCTCATTTCATCATTATTGTGTCAAATTAAGTCTGTTCGGACCATCCTCCAATCACATGCTTCTATTCATTAGCCTAGGACAGAAATTCAGAGTTGTGTCCTGGTTGTGACATTCTCAGTTCTTGACCAACTCTATTTTCATCTAGCCTGAGCTATAGTCAGTAGCTCTTGTGAGCCCAGCAGCATTAATCATAACAGCGTCTGTACTGGAGAGGACGCCCATGTCATCCTGCCCACGATAGATTAATGACGCACAGCGTGAGGGTTAGCTCAGGCTCCTTCTTTCCACTTTCAATTCATTGATGAGTTTATTCTGTACATCCCTTGGCCACTATGTTATCACAGATTGAAACTCAAAACCATAATTCATTTGGTAATTTTATGTATATCATCCCTAAGATGAAAATTTTCATTGTGAAAGAAAATCAGTTCTTTATTCAGCAGCCATTTGCAAGTTGCGTAGTACATTGCAGGCGTTGTGCTAGGACTTGAGGCCAAGGATGAGTGCGGTGTGTCCTCGTCTTTGATAGCTGATAGTCAGAAGGGTGATGCAAGGCACGAGGGCAGCTGCTTCCATTCTGTTTTGGTGAGGGCCTTGGTAGGGTGAAGTCTAGGAGGGTGAATACAAACAGGTCAGATAAAGGATGGGGAACAGGGAGGAACAGCAAGAACAAAACACTGGATAGCGTGGACCAGGAGTGGTGTGAGACCAGACCAGAGACATCTCTGGATCCCATAAGGCACTTGAGTTTTAACCTGTAGACCAGCTTTTTTCAAAACATCTTTGAGTGAATACTTGTTCTGTGAGATGATAATTGTTCTTGCATGGTGAAAGGGTTTCCTGATTAATTTGAGGAACACTGATTTTAAAGGACAGCCTTAACACTGTTCAGTTGGTACCCGTTTTCCTCAAGTGCTGTGCACCATCTTGTGACAAATGCAGGGACAGAAGGGAACAATACATATTGTCCCCTGCTTGGAGCTTGTAGGCCAATAAGGAAGATGGGAATTAAGCAAATGGCTGTAAATGATTTCTTTTCCTTTTTAATTTATTTGTTTTCAGCTGTGCTGGGTCTTTGTTGCTGGGCAGGCTTTCTCTAGTTGCAGTGAGTCGGGACCACTCTCTAGTTGTGGTGCACGGGCTTCTCCTTGTTGTGGCCGCTTTTGCAGAGCGCAGGCTCCAGGCATGTGGGCTTTCGTAGCTGTGGTGTGTGAGCTCTGTCGTTGCAGCTCCTGGCTCTAGTGCGCAAGCGCAATAGTTGTGGTGCACAGGCTTAGTTGTTCCACGACATATGGGATCTTCCTGGATCAGGAATTGAATCTGTGTCTTCTGCACTGACAGGCGGATTCTTTACCACTGAGACAGGAGGAAAGCCCTACAAATGATTTAAGTCTGTACAAGTGAGCCACATCCCAGAAAGGAGTTCATGTTATAGGATATAAGCTAAGAGGTTAATAAAGACAAGAATTAACATTCTTTCAGCCCATGCCATTAGGGAGACACTGGGCTGAGGGCTTGACAATCTTTATTATGTTTTCACAAAGCTAATTAGGGCAATGTGCTGGGTGATATTGCATTTCCTGATGTTGGACATAGTCGCAGAGCATTTTTCAAATGGATTTGAGCACGGGACCTTTTCTTTTTCTGTTTTTTCCCCCCACAGATCACTCATTCAATTCTATGGCAATTTTGTCTGGGGAGCCACTGACGGGTTCCTAGCCGTGGGGAGATACGGTTAAGTTCAACTTTCCAAACGGCAGAAGACATGAACTTTGTGACCCCAGTGACTCAGACATGTTCAGAAGTTTTAGAAAGAATCTTCAAACTTGCCAGTGCATAAGACTTACCTTTGCTTTCCCAAATACTGGCCCATTCAATCTGAGTTTTCTGGAGAACAGTCTGTAGCTTTTATAAGCTCATGGCTACATAGAAAACTGGTACTGTTGGTTACATCTGGGGTCAGGTCCTGGGTGACTGGGTGACAGCAACAGGAGGAAGAGTCTCCACTGTAACATAGTGGACCATGGTTACATATTACCTACTACCAAATACATGTGGAAATTAAAGAAGTCTCTGTCGATGGTCCAGATGTAGCCAGGACTGAGAACCACTGGTAGAGTTAAATGGTGAATTAAAAGCAAAATAGTGTGAAAAAAGTAATTAAGACTTTCTGTTATAAATAAGATGTGCCAGGATTGATTTGGGCATTAGGAGGTTATTAGCCTTAAAAAAGGCAACTTTTCTGGTGATGACGCAGAGAAGTCAGACCATGACGGATTAATGAGACAGAGAAACAGAGAGTGGAGGATTGTCTGGGGGGAACCCTGACCTGTCTACTCACTAGCTGACTAGCTGTGATACTTGGGAAAGGTTCTGAGTCCTGGATTCCTTCCTGTAAGGCAAGAATAATATTAGCTTAGAGGGTGATGGGAAAATCAAATGAAACAATAAGTGAAGGTTTTACACACACACGCACATGCATGCACATGCACACAGCAATGAACACGGTTGCTGTTGTTCAGTTGCTCGGTTGTGTCCGACTCTTTGCGACCCCATGGACTGCAGCATGCCAGGCTTCCCTATCCATCGCCAACTCCCAGAGTTTACTCAAACTCATGTCCATTGAGTCGGTGATGCCATCCAGCCATCTCATCCTCTGTGGTCCCCTTCTCCTTCTGCCCTCAATCTTTCCCAGCCTCAGGGTCTTCTCCAATGAGTCAATTCTTCACATCAGGTGGTCAGAGTATTGAAGCTTCAGCTTTAGCATCAGTCCTTCCAATGAATATTCAGGACTGATTTTCTTTAGGATTTCCTGGTTTGATCTCCTTGCAGCCCAAGGGACTTTCAAGAATCTTCTCCAACACCGAAGTTCAGAAGCATCAAACATGGTGAACGTGGTGCCTCATGCAATGAGAGCAGATAGGGTTGATGCAGACATTTTGGTTGGGAGAGCAAAAGGCTAAATTATAAAAATGAAGGTACTTCAAGATCCTGCAGAAGATAGAAGGGAAAGGGAGCAAACGTACCAGCTGAAAGTATTTCTTGGAAAGGATTGGGACCCCTTTCCTTTTGGGGAAGGGGAGGAAGGAGAGGCTGGATGGGTGTAGCGGTGACAAGGCAGCAGAGACACCTGGAGGGAGGAGGGAAGCTGAAGGAGACACAGGTAAGAACCCTTACTTCTCTTTTCTGCAAAGAAAGAATTGCATAAAATGTTTCAAGTACCAACAACATTTGATGCATGAAAGTCACGTTTCTGGTTGCAATAACCTGGGGGCGGGCATCATATCTGGATGTAAATACAGACAGCCTCCCTTGCGTATCACCCCTGTGCTTCGCCTGTTTGCTGCGTTACCTCCGGTACAGATACCTTCAAGGGCCATTTATTTATGCAGACCTTTTATTTTGAGGCTACTGGGCGGCAGGTACCAGACCAGGATGGTCATCACACTGAGGACAGCACAGCGCCGTGGGGTCGGGGGGAGTAGGGGAGAAGAGTACAGTTCACCTCTGCATATGCGTGGTCTGTGAACTTAGAAACTCAGAGAAGGCTGGATGTTTCCGGTGCAGGAATTGTGTGGATTTCTCTTTGCAGGGGTGTGTTAACACCTACTTATTTCCCCAAATGAGCTGACTGAAATGAGACTGTGAATCGACTTGAGTAGACATGTCCTATTTGGCCCAAGAAAGATGCTGGCACGCTGTATCAAAGAGTCTGGAAAAGAATATGTGAGTCAAGCTTCAAAAAAATTCCTGAAACATAATTGTCTACTTTCTTAACAAGGAGAACAGTAGTGTTCAATCCTTTCAGACCCAGTGTCCCCTTCCTAGCAAATACTTCACTATTCTGAAGTGAGATTCATAGATAATATAGCTTACCTACATATGTTTAAAAAAAAAAATCACACCCAAACTATTATACAGGAGAAATTGAAGTTGAGTAAGTTCCTGTTAAGTATGTAATTCTCCATTTGAATCCTTGGGCGTGGCCACATCAGTGGCACAATGAAGTATGCATCCTGACGCTTATATGGATAGTCACCATGGATGTGACCGCTGAAAACATAGGCTGATTTCGGTTTTATTATATTGGTAACTCAAATACCATGCACAACTTTGGTGATGGTGATGCAGGTTTCCAAAATGGCAAAGAACTTTTAATAAAGTTCTGAACAAAAGAAATCCATCAATTTTCTCAGCAGATGCATTTTGGAAAATTCAGTGAAGAGTGAAAAAATGCAAAAGCCACTCAAAGATAAGATATTTTGTGTTCATATGTAACATGGCATTTGGTTTTAGCTCAGATCATTATTGACAGGCTTTTCACCTACATGAATGTCTAGCGGGAATGTGGAAAGTCCCATGGCACTCTAGGAGAGTTTTCGTTGTGTGGGACTTTTTCTGCAAGCTGCAGGATTCTGCCACATCTGGCTGTCCACTCCAAGCCTGGTGACAACCGAGAAAACACCCTGGAAGTTTCCATAGTGTCCACCAGGGGGTGGCACCGTCCCCTTTGAGAACCGCTGCTGTGTATTGTGTGACTGTAACTGAACTCTACACCGATTAATTAATTAATACACTACACTATTAAATGCTTGTTGGATAGAATGACTAAGAGTGTTGCAGATCCATGCAACCATCATTTTGAACTTTAAGTCACACCATGGAGAGGCTGTAGATACAAATGGAGATCCAGACAGGGATAGCCAAATGTTTTAATCTTGCAAGCCTGTTCCAACTGGTTGGTGGTTGCTTTAATGCTATACACAGAATAATTCCTGAGGTAGTCTCCAGCTTGTTCAATCATTCAGGAACTATTTACTGAGTGTCTGTGCTAGGCACTGTTCTAAGAGCTGGCGGTCCAGTAGTGAGTAAAGCAGACAGATTCAAACCCTCATGGAGCTAAATTTTTGAGCTCAGGAGGAACTAACATTAAAAGTGTCTGCAGTGGGATCAGCAACCCACTAGCTACAAACTTGCTGGACAAGGAGAGTTAATCTGCTAACCCAGGAACTCTCGTGGAATTTTATTTTAAAAAATTAAGTGTCCCTAAGTTTATTTCTCTATATTCTGTCATCTTCTCAGAAAGAGAAAAAGAAAATGAAACAAAACAAACATCTTTTAGTTCATTGAGAATTATGATTATTTGAGTTCTTATCCACAGAATTATTCTATCATTGAATTTTGTTTTAAAATGAAGCATCTACATTGCCATATTTTAATTAATTTTTGGCCATGCAGGGTTTTTGTTGCTTCATGTGGGCTTTCTTTAGTTGCAGTGAGCAGGAGCTACTGTCCAGTCGTGGTGCGTGGGCTTCTCGTTGTGGTGACTTCACTTGGAGAGCATGGACTGTAGGGCCTGCAGGCATCAGTAGTTGAGATGTGTGGGCTCAGTTGCTCCACCTTCCTGGCCCAAGGATCGAACCCATGTCCCTTGCATTCGCAGGCACATTCCTGTACCAGGAAATCCTGATTCTATCATTTTAAAGGAAGCATTAGAATTAATGACCACATGTCACTTGACAAGAAATGAGGGCTTGGTCAAATCAGAAGCAAGAATTTATCTCAAAGTAAGACAGCCAGACCTACTGTCAACTAAAAAAAGATGTACAACTTGAGAGTTGTGAGTTAAGCTTTATTTGGGGCAAAATGAGGACTGCAGCCCAGGAGGCAGCATCTCAGATAGCTCTGAGAGACTGCTCCAAAGTGGCAGTGGGGGAAGGTCACTATACAAGGTTTTGATGAAGGTGGACTTCACTGCTATGAAGCACTCATTTTACAAAAGATTTCTGTTAGTCATGAGAATCTGATGTCATGATGAAGGATTTAGTGCTTCTCTAGATATGAGGAGGTGCAGGGATTGAGATCATAAAGTCTGTTCTTAAAAGCTTCTGTTCAGTTCAGTCGCTCAGTCGTGTCCGTCTCTTTGTGACCACATGGACTGCAGCACGCCAGGCCTCCCTATCCATCACCAACTCCTGGAGTTTACTCAAACTTGTGTCCATTGACTCAGTGATGCCATCCAACCATCTCATCCTCTGTCCTCCCCTTCTCCTCCCACCTTCCATCTTTCCCAGCACCAGGTTCTTTCCCAGTGAGTCAGTTCTTTGCATCAGGTGGCCAAAGTATTGGAGTTTCAGCTTCAGCATCAGTCCTTCCAATGAATATTCAGGACTGATTTCCTTTAGGATGGACTGGTTGGATCTCCTTGCAGTCCAGGGACTCTCAAAATCTTCTCCAACACCACAGTTCAAAAGCATCAATTCTTCGGTGCTCAACTTTCTTTATGGTCCAAGTCTCACATCCATATGTGACTACTGGAAAAACCATAGCCTTGACTAGACTGACCTTTGTTGGCAAAGTGTCTCTGCTTTTAATAAGCTATCAAGCTTGGTCATAACTTTTATTCCAAGGAGCAAGCATCTTTTAATTTCATGGCTGCAGTCACTATCTACAGTGATTTTGGAGCCCCCCAAAATAAAGTCTGTCACTGTTTCCACTGTTTTCCCATCTATTTGCCATGAAGTGATGGGACCGGATGCCATGATCTCAGTTTTCTGAATGTTGAGCTTTAAGCCAACTTTTTCACTGTCCTCTTTCACTTTCATCAAGAGGCTCTTTAGTTCTTCACTTTCTGCCATAAGGATGGTGTCATCTGCATATCTGAGGTTATTGATATTTCTCCCGGCAATCTTGATTCCAGCTTGTGCTTTATCCAGCCCAACATTTCTCATGATGTACTCTACATATAAGTTAAATAAGCAGGGTGACAATATACAGCCTTGACATACTCCTTTTCCTATTTGGAACCAGTCTGTTGTTCCATGTCTGGTTCTAACTGTTGCTTCCTGACCTGCATACAGATTTCTCAAGAGGCAGGTCAGGTGGACTGGTATTCCCATCTCTTTCAGAATTTTCCACAGTTTGTTGTGATCCACACAGTCAAAGGCTTTGGCATAGTCACTAAAGCAGAAATAGATGTTTTTCTGGAACTCTCTTGCTTTTTTGATGATCCAATGGATGTTGGCAATTGATCTCTGGTTCCTCTTATTTTTTTTTCCAAATCCAGCTTGAACATCTGGAAGTTTACATATTGTTCAAGCCTGGCTTGGAGAATTTTGAGCACTACTTTAATAGCATGTGAGATGAGTGCAATTGTATGGTAGCTTGAGCCTTCTTTGGCATTGCCTTTCTTTGGCATTGGAATGAAAACGGACCTTTTCCAGTCTTGTGGCCACTGCTGAGTTTTCCAAATTTGCTGGCATCTTGAGTGCAGCACTAAAACATCCAACTATCTAAAGACCTAAAAACATCCAACTATCTAAAGACCTAAAAACATCCAACTATCTAAAGACCTAGAACCATCCAACTATCTAAAGACCTGTCCCACCAGATTCCCTGGAGCACAGAGTGCCTCACTCCACCCTGAACTCCCTCAGGGATTGTTGAAGGTCAACAGCTATAGTAGCGTAGGGTTCAATCTCCATAGAGGCAGATGGCAAATGCCTTTGTTGTTCAGTGGTTGGCAGTGCTCTTGGTAAGTGCCGATTTGTAGTTGACACTATCAAAACGTGTGAACATCCTGTCTCTATGAAGACCTGGCCACCAACATTCCTGGGCAGACCTTGAGAGTAAGACCCACATCCCAAGCCACTGAATGATAAAGCAGACTTACTGTCAGGAAAAGCTGGGCTTTGCATTTGATCCCTTCTGGAGTCTTGGATTCACCCTTCCCTACTGTGGCTTTGTGATTGGGTCTCTGTGTCCTCATCTGCAGAATGAGTGCCTACCTCCCTCCTTGTGTGGTGTAACTGAGGGAAATGATGTTCCCAAGCCACTGAGCACAATGCCACAGTCCGGGGCTGCTCAGAGTGCCTCAGCTATTATAAGCTGTCTAAGAGAAATGGTTGAATAGCATCACCTACTCGATGGACATGAGTCTGAGCGAGCTCCAGGAATTGGTGATGGACAGGGAAGACTGGCGTACTGCAGTCTATGGGGTCGCAGAGAGTCAGACCCAACTGAGCGAGTGAACTGAACAGAAGAGAAGTGGGGTGAGGGCAGATGGTTGGGTTCTTTTTCTTTCTAGCTGTCACTCAGCTAGCTGAGGTGGGGTTGTTCTCACATTATTGTAACTCCAGGAGGAGAGATGACTTGTCCTTGAAAACTAACTTATGGTTGCATGTACTTTCTTGTGGTGGCTAAGTTGTGTCCAGCTCTTGCGACCCCATGGATTATAGCCCACCAGGCTCCTCTGCCCATGGGATTTTCCAGGCAAGAATATTTGAGTGGGTTGTCATTTCCTATTCCAGAGGGTCTTCCTGACCCAGGGATTGAACTTGGGTCTCCTACATTGCAAGCAGTCTCCTGCATCACAGGTGTATTCTTTACTTGACTGAGCCACCAGAGAAGCTTCATATTTTTATTGGATCTTAAAAGTGGAAAGAGATGGGACTACCAGATCACCTGACCTGCCTCTTGAGAAACCTGTATGCAGGTCAGGAAGCAACAGTTAGAACCAGACATGGAACAACAGACTGGTTCCAAATAAGAAAAGGAGTACGTCAAGGCTGTATATTGTCACCCTGCTTATTTAACTTATATGCAGAGGACATCATGAGAAACGCTGGGCTGGATGAAACACAAGCTGGAATCAAGATTGCAAGGAGGAGTATCAATAACCTCAGATCTGCAGATGATACTTCACTTTATGGCAGAAAGTGAAGAAG